TCTATCCGTATCCTGTTGTAACTTTATGCTACTGTCTACATCCTACCCAATTTTTGTGTTGGCAGCAAATTTGGATATTTGATTTTTTGATGTCATTATCCAAGTTGTTAATGAATATTGTAAATAATTGAGGCCCTAACACAGATTCCTGTAGGACAGAACTAGTTATGTCCTGCCATTTTGAGTACATATCCATTATTCTAACTCTCTGTTCCTGCCACTTAACCAGTTTCCTATCCACATCAGTAACTTGCTCTCAATTCTGTAGGCTTCCAACCTTAGCTAACAGTGTGTATGGGACTTTATCTAAAGTCCATATAAACAACGTCCATTGACCACCACCTTTGTCACTTCTTCAAAAGTCTCTAAAGTTTGTTAGGCATGACCTACCCTTCATGAATCCATGCTGACTCTCCCTGATCAACTGAAATTTTTCAAGATGATCAGTTGCCCTATCCTTGATTATAGACTCCAACAATTTCCCCATCACACATGTTAGGCTAACTGATCTATAGTTCCTGGTTCCTCTCTGTTACTCTTTAAGAAGGGTAAGTGACATGAGTGAATTTCCAATCCAGCATTACAACTCCTGAATCCAGGAATTCTGAAAGGTTATGGTTAGGGCATCAATAATATTCTGTCTTGTCTCCTTTAACACCTGTGGATGGAGGCCATCAGGTCCTGGGGATTTGTCACTCTTCAATAATTAGTGAAATAGATAATTTACGTAAGGTAATTTTATTTAGACGCTGTCCTTGATCCTTTGTTAATTTCTTCAGGACTTACAGCAACTTATCTTCCTTTGCTGCTGTGAAAACTGAAGCAAAATAATTGTTCAGCATGTCTGTCATTTCCCTATGGTCATTGACAATATCCCCACTCTCAGCGGGCCAACAATATTCTTAACTGGCCGCTTTCCCTTTATCTAACTATAAAATCTCTCCTTATTGCCTTTTATGTCTCTTGCAAGTTTCCTTTCATAATCCTTTTTAGCTGCTCTTATAAGCCACTTTGTGGCCCTTTGGTCTTTGTATTTGTCCCATTCTGTGAGATCTGTACTGTTTTTTTGTTTTTATAAGCCCTTTTAATTTTATGCAGTCCCTTACCTCCTTAGATGTCCAGGGAGGTGGAGCTTTTCCTTCTCATAGGTACAAACTGCTTCCAGATAGCATTAAATGTTTCTTTGAATGCCCTCCACTGTTCCTTGGTTTCTTTACCTGTTAGCAGAGCTTCCCAGTTTACTGTGTACAGTCTCTGTCTCATCCCATTAAAGTCTGTCTTACTTAAATTCAAAATTCTAGTTCGATCTTTGCTTGTCTCTAACAGATGCTACACAAAATCATATTATTATGACGACTATTTGACAAATGCTCATAAACGACTAGGTCACTAAATCAGACTCGCTGCTCATGGCGAGATCCAATATTGCTTGTCCCCTTATCACATCCAAGAAATATTGCTGTAGGAAACTATCATGGATGCATTCCGGAAATTCATAACCTTTCTGGCTGTCTTTCCCAGTCTATGTTAAAATTAAATCCCCCATTAATACTACTCTATCTTTGCTACGTAGTTGTCTAATTTCAGCATTTACACAATTTAACAGTTCTGAGCTGATGCCAGGTGTCTATATGTGATGCCTATTGTGGTTTTAATTCCTTTACAGTTCCTCAGTTCCACCCATAATGTCTCCACTGGGTGCTTTCCCCTCATTATATCCTCCCTCATCATCGAAGTGATTCTATTTATAATCAGTAAGGCTACTCCACCCCCTCTGCTGTTTTCTCTGTCCCTCCTGTAAACCTTGTAACCTGATGTGTTTAGTTCCTAGTCCTGACCATCCTGCAGCCATGTCTGTTCAATGGCTACTCTGTCATAGTTTCCAATTTGAATCTGTGCTGGCAGCTCGTTTAGTTTGTTCCATACACACTGTGCATTTGTATAAAGAACTCTAATTTTGGCTGTACACTGTATCCTGTCCTTCAGTATCTTTTTATTATTTCTCCCTCTTGGCTTACTGATTGCACTTTTTATAACCCAGCCTTGTTCGTTTAACTGGCCCTGCATGTTCATCCTATTAACTTCTACCTTTTCCTCACATCCTGACCTGCTGCTCTGGTTCCTACTTCCCACAGCACGAGTTTAAACCCTCCAGAGCGGTACTAGCAAACCACCCCACAAGGATATTGGTGCCCTTCCAGATTAGGTGCAGCCTGTCCTCCTTGTACAGGTCCCACCTGCCCTGGAACAAATCCAATGATCTAGATATTTGAATCCCTTCTTCCTACACCAGTTGTTTAGCCACATATTTGACTGTATTAGCTTCTTATTTCTGGCTTCACCAGCACGTGGCATGGGGAGTAATCCCAAGATTACAACCCTAGAGGTCATGTTTTTTAACTTTTTACTTAACTCCCTTGTCATTAGTTCCAATATGGGCCACAGCCTCTGGCTGTTCGCCCTCCCCTTTGAGCAGGCACAGGACGTACTAAAAGACACTTTGACCCTGATACCAGGGAGGCAACACCATCCTGGAGTCTCACTTGCAGCCACAGAAATGCCTGTCTGTGCCCCTGACTACCTCTGCTCACTTACACTTTGACCATTCCTGCTTTACAACCGAGCAAGCTAAAGGACATAAGTGCTAAATTGGATCTTCATTCTTCATTCCCAGCAGTCTGCTTGCTGCAGGTGCATCTGTCCATGATGGTATTGGAAAGAGTGACCACTGCGCAGTCCTTGGGGATACAAAGTCCTCCTTTCACTTTGAGGATACCATCCATTATGTTGGGTCACACTGTCACTGTGCTAAATGGGATAGATGTCAAACAAACCTAGCACCCTCAACAACGGCCTTCACTAAGATCTAAGGGTGATCAGCAGCAGAGTTGCATTTGACCACAATCTGCAATCTCGGCATAGTGTATCCCCCACTCCACCATTACCATCAAGTGAACTGATCCATGAAGAGTGCAGGAGGCCACAGCAGGAGCAGGAGCAGCACCAGGCAAACCTAAAAATGAGGATTTGACCTGGTAAGGCTACAACCCAGGACTACCTGTGTGCCAGACACTGACAGCAACAGGCTACAGACAGAGCTAAGCAATCCCAGAGCTAACAGATCAGATCTAACATGAGAATACAGATGGTCAATTAAACAACTAGCAGAAGGAATGGGTGGTGGCGGGGGGGGGGGGGTGGGTCCACGAATATCCCCACCGCAACAATGGGGCATCCCAGCACATCAGTAGAAAAGACACGGCTGAGGCAATTGCATCTGTCATCAGGCAGGGATGATCCATCCTGGGGTCACCAGGATCACTGATGCCAGTCTTCAACCAAACTAACTCACTCCACATGATATCAAGGAACAGTTGGAGGCTACTGGCCCTGACACCATTCCCACCATAGTGCTGAAGACAGTGCTTCAGAACTTGGCACAGCCCCTAGCTAAGCTGTTCCAGTACAGTTCCAGCCCTGGCATCTACCCAACAATGTGGTAAATTGCTCAGGTATGTCCTGGACAGAAGAAACAGGAGAATCCAATCTGCTCAATTACCAGCCCTTCAGTCTGCTTTCAACCATTGGTAAGGTAACTGAAGGCGTTGCTATCAAATAATAAGCTGCTCACTGATGCTTTGTTTGGGTTCTACCAGGGTCACTCTGCCCCGACCTCATTTCAGCCTTGATTCCAACTTGGCCAAAAGAGCAGAACTCCAGGGGTAAGGTGAGAATGACTGCCTTGACATTAAGGCAATGTTTGACTGAAAATGGCATCAAGGACTTCAGCAAAACTGAATACAAAAGGAATCCTTGGAAAAACTCTCCACTGGTTGGAGTTGTACCCAACACAAAGGAAGATAGTTCTGATTGATGAAGGTCAATTATTGCAGGACCAAGGCATCGCTGTGAGTGTTCCTCAGGATTGTCTCCTGGGCCCAACCATCTTCGCCGCTTCATCAATGACCTTGCCTCCATCATAAGGTCAGAAAAGTGCATGTTGGCTGATTATGCAAACCATTCACAACCCCTCAAATGCTGAACCAGCCTATGTCCAAATGCAACATGACCTGGACAACATCCAGATTTGGGCAGACCCATGATAAGTTACATTTGTGCTATGCAGGTGCCAGACTCTGATCATCTTTAATGAAAATCAAACCATTTCCCTTGGACTTTCAATGGGATACCAGTGTTGAATCCCCTGCTGTCAATGTCCTGGAGGTTACCTTTGACCAGGACATGAACTTGGGCAGCCATATAAATACTGTGGCTTCAGAAACAGATTAAAGGCTAGAACTTCTGTGGTGAGTAACTCACCCTGTGTACCCAGAGCCTGTCCACCACCTTCAAGGCATGTGTCAGGTGTGTGATGAAATACTCCCCACTTAGCTGAAAGAGCACAGCTGCAACAACACTCAAGAAGCTTGGCACCATCCAGGAGTAGCCCACTTGTTTGGTATCCTATCCACCACTCAGCATTCATCCCCTTGGCCACCGATTTGCAGTAGCAGCAGTGTGTACCACCCACAAGATGCACTGCAGCAGCTCAAGGATTAAAGCCATGAGCAGTACCACCTCGGAAGACAGAGACTGTCGACAACTGGGATCACCTACCCGTACCACTCATGATCCTGACTTGGAGCTATATCACCAATGCAGTGTCACAATCGTGGAATTCCGTTCCTAACAGTATTATGGAAGACCCAACACCCCAAGGACTGCAGTGGCTCAAGAAGGCAGATAATGATGGCAATGTCAAGGGCAACTAAGGATGGGAAATAAATGCTGCCTAGTCAGTGACACCCATGTCCCTGGAACACATTAAAAATAAAATGTGTTCATGATTAAGACTTGACAGAGTTCACGAGTAAAATAACGTGCTGCCACGTTTAGTGCTTGGGTAGATCTGTGTTGAGTAAATTCAACACAGTTAAATATATGTTACTGGAAGTATGGCAAGGAAAAATAGTTAACATACTTGTCTGGGCTAGAAGGTACCAAGGAGGAAGTTGGGAGTATTAGTTGATTAAGTCATAAGTCACAGAAAAGAAACAACTGGCATGCAGAGGAACAGGGTGCTAGAATGCAACCCTGCTAAGCATTACTCATGCAGAAAATGTTTTGAAGCCCTTGTGTATAGCTAACACTCATTAGTGTGATGCTTCCTTTCACATTTTCCCAGTCACACTTCGACAATAGATTTGTTATGTAAGTGTGTTCTTTGACTCTGTGAGCCAGCATTCCCTCTAAGCTATACTGCCGCTTCAAGGTTCCTTACCAATGCATTGGTTTCTGCTTTCAGAGCTCACTGCTGCACATGGACCTCTGAGGTCTGAGGAGCAGAAAAAAAATCTAGTGAGAGTATAACAATTTATTGGGCTTGCTGTCAAAATGTGGGTTCATTTTGGTGAGTTGCACAGCAAGTGATTAGGAAGCCAAACAGAATATTGGCCTTTATTACAAGGGGATGGCATATAAAAATAGGAAAGTCTTGTTGCAGCTGTACAGGACATTGGTGAGACTACACCTAGGGTGCCGTGCTTGGTGTTGGTCCCTTACTGTCATTAGAAGCAGTTCAGAGAAGTTCATTAAGCTGATACCTGTGATAACAGGGTTGCTGGATGAACACAGCAGGCCAAGCAGCATCAGAGGAGCAGGAAAGATGACGTTTCGGGTCTGGACCCTTCTTCAGAAATGCGGGAGGGGAAGGGGACCTTTGACTCCTTGATGAAGTACCAAGTTCATGGTGCAAGGAGTTCAGGGATGTAGATTTATATAGCACCTTTCCCATCCTCAGAATGTCCCCAAATGGTTCAGGCTATCCAGTACAATTTTTCAATCACTGTTGGAATGTGGGCAGTTTGTAAGAGCAAGACTCCCTGGAAACATGATGCATTGACCTGTTATTTTTCCCCAGTGATATTGAGGAAGGGAATTTGAACTGTGTGACATTTTCTGTGTTCTTCAGAGCATGCAGTCCAGAGCTGGAGGTGATGCTGGTGGGCTAAGGGGGCCAGTATTTAGGACTGGGGGCTGTGTTTGAAGAACCAGATGCTTAATCTCACTGATAGGGACTGTGTTCAGGAATACTGGTTTGGTCACTGTGACAGAAAGAACTAGCATGTATAGAGTAGTATTCAAGGGCCCAGGATATCCAGAGCACTGTGCTTAGTTGTTTTGTGCAGCCACTTTCACAGTATGAAGTGTTTGGTTTGAGTGAACTCACTGCTTCCTGACACCTCCCTGTTTTCCATTGTGCTGCAACTTTGGAAACTAACAGTTACTGAAACACAGACTTCACTGCCCACATTCCTTTGCAATGCCAGACTGCCTGTTGCACAGGAGCGAGCCAAAACAAAATCAAAACGAGAGAAAGTGCCCAGGATTTAATTGGTGGGTTAGGGGCTGCTGCTGCTTTATTATACTCCACCTTATCAAAGGCCCTGTATCTGATCAGTCACTAACTTGGACCAGTTAAGGATTCGGTGAGTTCAGTTTACAAGATGATCTCTTACTCTCTTTACAGTCCATTTCTGCCCACTAGGTCTGATGTCCCATTATCAGAGTGGGTCACTGTTTTAGCAGAGTGTGATGAAGATTTAAGTATGTCTGGGTCAGGCAGTGAGTGTTGATTTGTTGGTGATTAGGTTTGGAGCTGGAGAGTGGAAAAGCAAACAGAAATTTCTGCTGGTGACAGGTGTGTCAGGAAAACCGTAGCAATTGGCAGCTAAGTGTGTTTGTCGTCTTAAGCCAGTTCAGTATTTCCGTTGCTTCTCCAGATAGGACAATGAAACACAGCTAGCCACATCTAGAAGTGGTTAAAAATCAGTAAGGCCTAACAGCCCCTCCCCTCTGTTTCTTTCTCCCTTCCCACCCCCTCAGGCATTGCTGTTAACTGTGCTTTAAGTGCCCTGGTGGTTGATTCTCCCCATCGCTGAATCCCGTGAGTATCTCCTCAGTTTGCAGTCATCCTTTTACAGCTGGTTGTGTCAAGTTGGATCGTGTCGAGTGAGTGAGCTTTTTGCATTCTCCCATTTCTGGCTGCTTCCAAAGGCCTCCTTCCTTTTGCTCCTTTGGTAGTGGTGATACCTTCAGCTGTCAAGGCCTGAACTTTTGGGATTCCCTCCTCCTGCTGATAACCCACCACTGGGGCTAATCTTCTGGCTTCCTGTCCTAATGTCCCCTTGTTTGGTTCAGAGTCACCTTTGTGCCTGATTAAACCCCTGTAACGCACAACAGGGTATTTTTATTCCATCCAGTGCTTTATAAATATGGTTTCCTATTGAGCAACTACTTTTCAAATTGCTTTTCTGAGCTGTGTTTCGCAGCCTCAGTTCCCTCTGGTAAAATATTTCTTTTAACGGTAAGGTTGAGGAGCGTGGTCACGAGTACCAGGAGCTGGTGTCGGCTGTGTCTCAGCAGCCTGTACTCTCACCTTGGAGTCAAGAGGTTGTGGATTCGAACCCCACTAGAGTCTTAAGCACTGGTGGCTAGACTAACGCCCTCAGTGCAGGTAGAGGGAGAGCTGTATTATCTGAGCTGCCATCTTCAAAATAGGACATTAAATTGAGACCCTATCTGTCCGTTCAAATGGACAGGAAACAATCCCATTATTCTATTACAAATAAAGGAGCAAGTAAATGGTGTCCTGGCTAATATTTACCCTTCAAACAGCATGACAAACAAGAACAGTAAGGTCCTGGTCCCGTTGCTGTTTGTGGGAGCTTGTCGCACACAAATCGTCTGGCACGTTTCCTACATTAAAGTAGTGATTGCAGTTTGTTGGTAGTACAACACGTGGGAGTTGTCCTGAGGTTGTGAAATGTACTGTATATAAGTGCAGGACTTTCCCTTTCTCTAACCACACGATGCTATGCCCACACAGGAAGACAGAATGTCTGGAGAAAGCGCGGTGAGTCCAGTGCCCGCAGCATCAACCCGCACCACCTCCTTCAAAGGAGCAAGCCCAAGCTCCAAGTATGTCAAGCTGAATGTGGGAGGAGCTCTCTACTACACTACCATGCAGACCCTGACCAAACAGGACACCATGCTGAAGGCTATGTTCAGTGGCAGGATGGAGGTGTTGACAGACAGTGAAGGTAATTTGAGCTGAACTACTACTAATGGACTGGATCTCTCCACACAGAGGGAGAGGGAAGACTGGTGGAGGTCTTTCAGACAAGGAACGGGGTGGAATGGGTAAATGTTGAGAAGGTGAAAACTGAGACCCATCAGAATAACACGGTATTTTGCAACTCCAACAGGGAATTTAGGAGAATTGTCTTTACACAGGAAGAATGTGGGACTGGGTATTGCAAGGGAGTGGTTGTGATGCAGTGCTGGACTTTTTATTTCTTTATTTTTCTAATTTTTTCCCCTAAGAACTTGTACTGAAGAAGCTGTACCTCGGTACCCTTGTACCTAAGCACCCTAAGTGGTAACTTGTAAACTTTTCACTGTACTCATTTGAGTACATGTGACAATAAAGCTAATTCAATTCAATGTTTGTTTGTCTAGCTTTACCTTTTAAAACCGAGATAACATGGAGCAGAGAGCTTATCGATAAGATTCATTGAAGAGCAGGAGGCAGAATAAAACAGCGAGGGCAGAATGACCTGTTTCTCTGCAGTTAAATTCTGTTCTGGAAGTAGCTACTTGAATCTGTAACAGGATGCTGCAAAGGGACGTGAGATCTTTTTGTTCAGTGACAGACACTGGGAGATAAGGGCAGGAGGAAGCCTGTTCTGCTGTGTAATTTGATGCTGCCTGATCAGATTCGTGTATAGTGGCTGTCAGCTGGCCTTGTAACCTGGCTGCAATCCCTGACAGGAACAGCATGTCACCGCTCTGTTAGACCGTGTTCAGTAGATGTAGACCTTTCTCACAGGTGATATCTCGCCAAGGCAATGTTCCAAATGAAGAAAAAAAAATACAGTTTGCATTGCCATCCTTGTAATTTCCCTGAGTAATTCCCCGAATAGATTCTCCCCTGTGTAGCTGCCAAGAATTGTGATGTTTGCAATGTCCCATATGGTGCTTCATTTCTTGTTCACTGTTTGCACTCGGAATGGGGTTGCCTCAGGATCATTTACCAGTATTCAAACCTGCTGATCATTTCAACAGGGGGAGAGGAACAGAGGGCAGGAGAGGAGTGGTAGGAGGAAAGGGAAAGGAGGGGTGTGAGGGCAGGAGAGAGGAAAGGAGTGATGGTGGGTGGGAAGCAGGAGGTGGGGGAGGTGAGCAGTGGAGTGATACAAAGCCAAAAGAGGGGAAGGAGAGATGGGAGGGCAGGAGAGGGAAGGAGGAGAGATGGGAGGGCAGGAGGGACGAGGAATGATGGGAGCGTATGGGGAAAGAGATGAGAGAAGAAAGAATGAGGAAAAATTAAAGAAAAAACAGAAGGTAAGTGCTGCTGGTAAGGGGTAAGTTCCCACTTGATTTTTCACGTTTTCTCTGTGTTACTTATAGCCATATCGGGGGTGTATTGTCCCCATGTGGTAGTTGCTCAATAACTGTTTGAATTGATGGGGATCTTGCCTTATTTGTCCAGGGAATCTAAAGGTTCCATTTGCACTTCGGCAGTAAATTCCTTGGATCCTAGCCTTATGTGGTTTACATGAGCCACTTGGCCTATTTTCCCTGTGACTGTGAATAGCAAATCTACAGAGCTGCATACCTAGAATGTTTGAGAAAGAAAATAGCATTAGCCCTTTTCAGAGTGGTGTAAGGCACTGACTAGCTTGCAGTAATCCTGGAGATGGTAGATTGGAGCTGTGTGCACACGTGCTATGAAGCAGACTGAGAGTCAAAGGCTTTTAATGTTTGAACTGTTGTCAGCTGTAGCTCAATGGGCAGGGCTGTCACCTCTGAATGGGAGGGTTGTAGATTGATGTTCCACCCCATACACTTGAGCATTAATATCAAGACTGAGACTATGATGCAGTACTGATGATGTGCTGCATTATTGGGTGAGATGCAGACAAGAAACTATCTACTGTCCAGGATGGCTGTGGAAACTCCTAGTGGAACATGTCCAAGAAGATCAGGGGGTGGTTTCTACCCAGTGCCCTGGCTAGTAACACAGCACACTGTGTTTACAGCAAAAAAACTATGATATTTTAGTCTTTTTTTGCAGAGTAGCGATTTGCTGTTTATCATTTTATCAGCATAAAGTTGGTGGAACTTTTGCCTCTGAGTCATACGGCTCTGTGATCAGGTTCCAGTCCAGGGTAGGGACGTGGGAACGAAGACAGGTAGTCCTGTGCAGTACTGAGGGAGTGCTGTGCCATGTGTGTGTACTGCCTTTTGGGTGAGACATTTAACCTGACTGCTCAGGTGGGTGTCAAAAATCCCATGATGTTATTCCAAGAAACAGCAGAGGTGTTGTCCATGGTCTCCTGGCCAATTTATGACCCTCAGTCAACAACGTGTCATTATCACATCCCTATTGGGGTTCCGTTAGTTGTTGTTTTACAATGGAGTGTGGGTTCAATTCCTGCACAGGCTGACTTTACCCTGAAGGAGTCTACTTCACAACCTCTCCCCTCACCTGAGGCATGATGACCCTCTCTCCCCGCCTCCCTCCCTCCCCGCCTCCCTCCCTCCCTCTCTCCCCCGCCTTCCTCCCTCCCTCCCTCTC